GTGTGTGTGTGTGTGTGTGTGTGTGTGTGTGTGTGTGTGTGTGTGTGGTTTGGGGGGAGTGGGAGATTTGGGCTCCAGGGTATGCCTGGAGGACATGAGTGGTCCCCTTTCAATGCTTAGCTGAGTCATGAAATCTGAAGTTACTTCTCTGGAACTGTTGGTGCCCTCATATTCCTAAGGAAGGCCTCTTGGGTGATAGCCTCATAGCCTCAGGGTGTCCTGGGCTAGCTTCTCTGTCTCCTCCAACAGCTGTCCACTCCCTTGCCTCAACCTGGGATGCCTTTTATGCTGGTTACTCCCCTGGGTATGTTTGTGGTTCCTGAATTAGGTGCAAAAATTCCTTATTATGGTTCTGAGGCCTGGAAAATTGGCTGAACTGACCATTTCTGTCTCATCCTACTAGTTGAATCATGTGAAACAAGAAGCTGCTCCTGGTTTAGCAGATCTCATAGAGACACATTTCATCTTGAGCTTTTCTCTACACCAAAGGGGCCTCAGGCAAGGAGGATCAGTCAATAGGAGTGGGAGTGCCCTCCCTCAGTGTTTTTTTTTTTTTTTTTTTTTTTTGGTTTTTGGTTTTTTTTACTGTTCCCTAATTAGTAAACATCTTAGTGTTACAACCTCTGGTGAGAGAGCAGGAAGGGCCTGTTAAGGCAGATAAAAGAATGAGCCATTTGCAAGGCTCCCAACTTTTCTCCCATTTCACTGCAGCCCAGGGACCATAACAACAGTGATGGCTATTTATTTTTATATAGGCTTTCCCACCTAACAACACACATGGCTGTGTTATTTCTACCTGCATAATGTCTCTCATACCTGTAATGCCTTCTCTCCATTCACCCAGCTCCATTCTGCCTAGGTAGAGGCCCTTACCATTGTTTGTCTATACGATTACAACTGAGTCAGTGGGGTGGCACAGTGGATAGAGAACTGGGCCTAGAGTTAGGAAGACCTGAGTTCAAGTTCAACTGTGTGACCCTAGGAAGCATTAGAACCAGGATCTCTGAGCCCAGGTTTCCAGGTTCCAAGTCTATCCATACTTGACTTTCTTCTAAGGTCATACTGGGCAGTATGTGTTCTCAATTGGACTGTCAGAATACTCTTCTCCCAGGAAGGATGCCACTTCAGAGCACTGACAAAGGATGTTACTTCCAGGATTTGGGACATGAGGAGAAATCTGACTTCTTCATGAAAGTGTTTCTCTTCTAATTCATCCTATATATGATGCTAGCTTAACACTCCTAATGTAAAAGCTCTGAACAACTTGCTCTTCTGCTCAAAATGCAGTGGTCCCCTTTGTCTAATAAATGAGCTCTAAGGCGTTTCAGTCTGGTAATTGAGGTCGTCCAATATCTGGCTCCAGCCTACCTTTCCAGATTTAACTCCAACCAACTTGCATTAATAACTGTGGCCAAAGACATCCTATACATTCCCATCTCTATAATTCTGACAAACATAATTTGTCAGGAATTTATTTGTATACTCTATTTGTATGTAATTTTATTTGCATTTGTATGATTTGTTTGTATGATTACACTGGGGGTAGGGAACTCCAGGTAAGGAAATGCCTTCTACTGATGCAGATCAGCATTGTTGGGCAACAGAAGGCCTTAGAGCAGTGCCTGGAGCATGGAGGGTATGAAGTGATTTGTCTAGGGGATGTCAGACCTGGGGACTCCTTGAAACACTAGGTCTTCCTGATTGAGTATAGCCTAATACATCACAATATCACCCTTTGTCTCAAATAATAGTCATTCTGGTCCAGACCTGTGACTTCATTGGTATGAGGGAACTCACTATTATGAGAACTTTAACCAACCAAATGTTGATCGGTGACTTGTCTATAACCTATGGTTTTAGGTTCAGGAGTTGCCCAGGGCTTGGATACATCAAGTGATTTTTCCCTTGGTCATGCCTCTATTTACTATGACATTCTGCCTCTCATCAATAATGATAATGATAATAATAATAAATCATATTTGTATAATGCTTTAAGGTTTGTTGTTGTTTTAGTCATATATGACTCTTTGTGACCTCATTTGGGGTTTCCTTGGCAAAGATACTGTTGTAATTTGCCATTTCCTTTTCCAGCTCATTTTACAGATGAAGAAATTGAAGCAAACAGGGTGAAGTAGTAACTTGTCCAAGGTCACACAGCTAGTGTCTGAGACTGGATTTGAATTCAGTTTAGTCTTTCTGGCTCTAGTCCCAGCACTCTATCAGTGCCACTTTAAGGTTTAGAAAGCATTTTCTCCATACCATCCTGTAAGTTAGATAGTGTAAGTATTATTTTGTTTTATATAAAGGTTAATTAAATTGCCCATGGTGAGAGTTAGCATATGTCAGAATTTGAACCTAAGTCATCTGACCCCATTCCAGTGTTTTTATACACTATCCCATGCTGCCTCTCTTTTCCATGCCCATCACTAACTCTGCCTGCTAAGGCCCTACTAGTCTTTCATGACAACTCAAATCATCTGTTTCCTTTCATGGAGTCTTACTTGATTCTTCTCCCTTGTACCCTCTCTCTCTCTCTTTCCATGATCCATCCCAGCCAGAAGTGGTCTCTCTTTCACGTGCTTACATAGACTTTTCTATTTTTTATATTCTAAATGGTCTTGTAATTATCTGTGTTCAGGTTTTCTCACCACTAAAAGATCCCAAGTTCCTTGTGGGGAAGGACTGTGCCTTATGGATCCATGATCTTACCCAGCAAAGAGTACAATCTGAATAAATGGATGAATAAATGATCCAGTCCTATTTTGTGACTCACAGGAGTGCTAAAGCTTCCCTAGCACCTGACTAACTGATAATCTACAATCCACTTACCTTAATGGCTTTTGCTCTGTTGATCAGCCCATCTCGTTGAACACTTCCAATGAGCAGATCCACTTTCACCCTCAGAAATCGTTGCAATGCTCTGATTGGAGTCTCTTGGAGATAGATGCCATCAACCACTGGTCCCCAGTAATGAAATGGGCCACTTATTGCCAGGAGCTGGGTTTGGGGATTGAAGAGATGTGACTGTTTATTACCACATAGTCACCAGGAATTCACTGATTCAGATTTTTACAGCAGAGTAGAGAAACTTAGAATTGGAAGGAGCCAGTTAAAATCCCACCTTCTACAGGAAGCCTTTCCCAATCCCTCTTAATTTGAGCACATTCCCTGTTGATTATTTCCAATTTATCCTGAATGTACCTCCTCTGTACATAGCTGTTTTCGTGCTGTTTCCCTCTATAGAGTATGAGCTCCTTGAGAGCAGGGACCATCCTTTGCCTTTCTTTGTATCCCTAGCACCTAGCACAGTGCCTGGTACATAGTAGGTACTTAAAAATGGATATTGACTGTCTGCCTGCCTAGAAGAAGCCAGTTCCTGGAGGGCTGGAACTAGGTCTTACTGATCTTTTTATCCTCTAGGTGCTACCATAGGGCATTGCAAATACTACCTGCTTAATCAATGTTTGTTAAAAAAATGAATGGATGAAGGTCAGCCAGTTGCCTCATTTTTGTAGATGATGGAGCTGAGGTCCAGTACTTCACACAAGGTCACATAGATAGTTGCTAGCACTAGAAGCCAGGTCTTTAACTATCAGCCATTTTTTCATTATATTTCTAGCTCAATAATATGAGCCCCCTTAAAAAAAGAGATTCATAAATTGTTGGACTTTAGATATGTATAATCCAACTCCCTCCTATTACAGATGAGGAGAGATCAGTTAGGTGAAATGATTGGTTCAAAGTCACATGGATATTAGGTGTAAAAAACAGAGCAAAACCCCAGGTCTATGGAATTCTAATCCAGTGGTTTTTCCATTGTAACATGCTTCCTTCCTTAGTATATTATTAATGTCATTGAAACCCTCTGGGTCTGAGTAGCTTAACTGGCAAAAAAAAAAGAGTATTGCATTGTGGACTAAAATTAATGTTATTTTTTCAAGATGACACAGAAATATGATTTTATTAGTAGCAGCCACTCCCTATGAGGAAGCTTTCCCTACCAATGCAGATTTGCATAGATGCCTGGGAACAATGAAAAGATGGGGCACTCCCCCAGGTGTCACACAGCCACTATGGGTTAGAATTCAAGTATTCCTGACTCCAAGGACAGTTCTCTATCCATTGGGCCACATCTTTTTTTTTTCCTTTCAAAGAGAACTCATTTTGGGCATGCAGCTTGTGTTCAGACCAATGCAATACCCCAGGTCTCAGTCTTAAAATTCTGCAAGATCTTCCCTACTTCCTCCTTCATTGCCCACCTTGGTTTGAGCATCATTGAGGATGTCAGCAGGTTTCTGGCGGAGGCAGGACATCATATCACTATAAGGAGAGGTTGGACAACTGACTTCCTGGGCAAGAGCTGCTGCCTGCTCTTGAGCCCTTTTCTGGCTAATTGCTGCTGCAGGAGAGAGCACCGAGCCACCCTAGAAGAGAATTCAGTTGTATTGATGATCATAAAGTATTCCTAGACCTATAATGGATGAAAGGGTAAACGAAAGAGCTTTGTCATCAATCATTCACATTCAGAACTCAATACCACATAGATCTGTAGATGTCTCTCAAATCTGGCTTGCATGCAATCTATAATCAGTGTTAATTTTCAGTAGATGCCCATATATTTATTCCTTTTCAAAGAGATTTTATTTTAAGGGTGTAACCTATAGTCAGACCAATATAGTATGACAAATGGACCTTACATGGAGCAGTTGGCCCCCTCAGACATCATGCACCAAAAACCCTGCTTGACTAAAATTTCCCCTATTGACATGCTTCAGGGACTGAACAACAACATATGGGAGGGAATCCAACAGAAATATATATAGACACACAAACATAATACAATGTGTATACAGAATGAAGCAAAATTTGAGGAAATAATGCTAATAACTGGGAGTTGGGGGTAGGATGAGGATCATAAATGGCCCTGTGTCAGAGGTGGCATTCAAGATGGGATTTAAAGGAAGCCTGGAATTCAACTATCCAGAAGTGAAGAAGTAGCTCATTCCAGATAGGGCACCCCATTTCTGCAAAGGCAGGAGATAGAAGGTGATGTATATATGGGGAAGAGCTAGCAATCCTATTTCATTGGAATAAAGAGTGTGCGAAGGGTATCAATAAGAAATAAGACTGAAAAGCTAGATGAGAGTCACCTTGTGGAGAAATTTAAATGGGAAGCTGACTTCCACGACCTCAGTTTACTCATCTGCAAAATGAGGGGTCAGATTAGATGTCTTCTGAGGTCCCTTCCAGTCCTAGGTCTATGATTTTATGATTCCATGATTTTATATTTTATCTTGGGGGCAACAGGAAACTACTGGTCAGATTTGTGCTGTAGGAATAGTAATTTGGCAGAGGTGGATTGGAAGTGTGAGAGACAAAAGGCAGGAAGTTCAATAAGGAGCCTATTGAAATAGTTTAGGTAGAGGTGATGATGGTCTGAACGAAGGTAGAGATTGTGTGAAGGGAAAGAAGGAGATGGTTTTAGAGATGCTGTGGTGGTAGAATCAATAAGTTCGGGTAACAAGTCAGTGTGCCCCCAAAGCAGGTTGGTACGCTAAGTATAATTGAATGCTATAGACCCCATGACTTGTAAATTCAGGTGAGGTCACTTGGGGCTGGAGTTGTCAGTGAAAGATGTAGAGTTAAGAATCTATATGAGTGTGTACCTAACGGGAGAAATGGGGTGAACAAAGCAGAGAAATGGGGATGTGTATGTTGTATTTTAAGAACAGTAGGGTACAATTGTTGGGGCAAAGGGTTCATATAGGTGGTGAAGGGTATTGCTATATCAGATTGGAATTGAGTCATATCGGGCCTTGAATACCAGGCTAAGGAGTCTGGATTTGACTTTTAAGCAATAAAGAACCATTGTGGATTTCTGAGCTGAGAAGAGATGTGATTAGAAAGAATAAATCAATCAATCTGGGTATATTGGGCTTTAATTAATGAAAATTCTTGATGCATTTAAACTAGGATTGGATTTACACCCAATTTGTTAGGAGCACAGATGCTAGAGAACAGGAGGTGTGCTTGCAAGATGTCATAGCATTTAAATTGAATTTGGGTCCTTTTAAGATTATTCATTCTAAGGATATAATGTATTACAATTAGCCTCTGTGATAGCACTCTTTTTTTTTTTTTAATTCACCATACTAGAAACCAAGGGAGTTTTATGTATCCTGGTGGTATGGTGGATAGAGTGCTGGCTCCAGAGTTAGGAGAAACTGCGTTAAAATCCAGCCTCAGATGCTTACTAGCTGTGTGACTCTGGGCAAGTCATTTAACCCTCTTTGCCTCAGTTTCCTTATCTGTAAAATAAGCTGGAGAAGGAATTGACAAACCACTCTAGTATCATTGTCAAGAAAACCCCAAATGGGGTCACAAAGAGTTGGATGCTAAATAACAATAGCAAAGGGCATAGGAAGAGACAGGCAGAGCCAGACCTGATAATAGGATCATAGATTTAGAACTGGAAGGGACCTTGGAAGTCATCTCTTCCAATTCTGTCCCTTTATTTACAGGTGAGAATACTGAGGCCCAGAGAGAGAGTGGTGGAGGGGATAGATTTACGCAGGGTCACAGGTAGCACATGTGAAAGCTGGAATTTCAACCGGGTCCCTGTGACTACACACTCAGTGCTTTTCATTAAGCCATTACTCCGGATGCATTTCCTCAGCTGCCTCTGCTAGTCCTCCTAGCTCAGACACTGGACTTCCCACAAAAAACCTGAGACAACATATTATAGCAGGAGATGCAGTTGACTAGGAGCCCAGAGATCTGGGCATCCTCCTCTGACCTTTATAGCTGTCCTTCCTCTAGACAAATCTCTTTGGAAAATGAGAAATTGAAGACTTCACCTTCCTAGGCCCTTGGATTTATGATTCTATGAATAATGCATATATTGAGAGAGATTTCTTACGATAGATTATATATCTTCATACATTATCAAATGCCTACAAACCTACTGGCAGCTATTGGTACAGCCTGATTAAGACAGCTATAACAGGTGACACAGTTCTTGAGTTGCTGCTATATTCCTTTGTAAGAAACCATACATTCTGATCCATCTTTTAAGGGAGGGAAGGAAGGAAGGAACGAAGGAAGGAAGGAAGCACCTTCTAGGTGCCAGGTACTGTGCTAAATACCTTACCAATATTATCTCATTTGTTCTTCACAACAATGCTGGAAAGTGAGTGCTATTATCACCCCCATTTCATAGATGAGGAAACTGAGGCAGAGAGCAATTAAGTGACTTGCCCACAGTCACACAGTGAGTAAGTGTCTGAGATTGGATTTGAACTTAAGTCTTCCTAACTAACTACCAGCCCAGTGTTCTGTCCCCTGTATTCCCTCGCTGGGAAGAAAGAATGAAAAGATTCAGAGAATGTTAAAGGTGGAAAAGACCTATCCTCAACTCTATATTTCATACATGAGAAAAGAGTCCTAGAAAAAGAAAACGATTTGCCCAAGGCCACATGGCTAGAATCACATCACAGCATTTAGAAGTGGAAGGGGCCTCAAAGGCCATCTGGTTTAATCAACACATTTTGCAGATAGAAAACAGGCCCAGATGAGGTAAAGACACCTTCCTTTTGAAGTTCCCTCTGTAATACATAGCAGTGGTTTTGTAGTGACTCCCCCTGCCTTCTCTCTCCTCCCTCATAAAGAAGAAATATTTCCAGCTATGAGATAAATCTATTTCAGTTTTTTTAGACCAAGGGATTTTAAGGTTTTTTGAGTGTCATGGACCCCTTTGGCAGCCTGATGAAGCCCATGGACCCCTAATCAGAATAATGTTATTATATTTACCCATGATCACAGACTCCCAGATTAAGAATTTCTGGTTTAGATAGAAATTCCAAAGATTCCTGCTTGGTTTTCAGAACTGCCAGCATGACTAGCTATAAAATGTTTTATGTCTTTAGTCCCATGCAAAAGAAAGTGGGAGGATTGCAAAACCACATTCCATTGCGATAAAGGGTCCATGCTAATGGATAGCCTAGACAACAACTCCCCACCCACATGAAACACGGTGGCTTTAGAGTCTAATTTAAAGACTCCAGAGGTGGCTGATGCTTAAGACCCCAACAGGCCATGATTGGGAGCACCAGAAAGCATTTTCAGTGTCTGACCTTACTTCATAAAACTCTGGGACTCGTAGAGGCTAGGATGTCAGAGCAAGTCCCTTTATTACCAATTATTTTATGATCCAGCTGTGCTGGCCTCCTCATTCCTCACACATAATGTTCCATCTCCTGTTTCTGAGCTTTTGCATTGGTTGCCACCATGTCTGGAACGGGCTCTTGCCTCATCTCTGCCTCTTAGAATCCTGGCTCTCTTCAAGACTCAACTCAAATGCAGCCTTTTGCAGGAGACCTTTCCCAACTCTCCTTTCCAAGGCTTTCCCTCTGAGATGTCCTTCATTTGCTTTGTATACATCTTATATGTACCTATTCCTTTACATGTATCTCCTCCTCTGGAATGTAAACTCCTCGAAGGCCAATCCTGTTTGCATCTTTCTCTGTACCCTGAGTGCTGAACATAGTGTCTGGCACTCAGGAGGCACTTAATAAAATGCTTTTTGGCTCTATGACATATCAGTGTCTAGAACAAAGAATATTAATGCTGTTCGACATCCTCCGACTCAACCTCCTCATGATCCAGATAAGAAAACTGAGATCCAGAGAGAGAAAAATGACCTCTCTTGCCCAGTTGCAGAGCTAACGAGAACAAGAACTCAGGGTTCCTGAGTCCTAGGCCACGGATTCTTCCACTATGGTACTCTACCCTTCTGTCCTTTATGGCCAGCACAGCCCACATTCTATTTTCTTTGTAAGCATGCAGAGACTTTTGAGAATGAAAGGATTTATATTTTGTGTGTGTGTTTTTTTTCTCTTAAAAAGAAAAATTCCCAGGAAATTCAAGGTCAAAGGAAATTCCAGATCCAGATAACAGTCCTAACCTCAAAACTTCTGAACTAATCACAATATAGGGTAAACTAACCTACTTTTAAGAAAAAAACTTAAACATTAACCATCTGAGAAGATATAAATTCTAAGACAGGTCTCCTGAATTTTCATTTCTCTAACTATACTGTGTAAAGCCAGGGTTCCTGATGAGGAAGTGGTTAAAGGCATTGGCTTGCCTGATTTCACTAAGCCACTAAAGAAATTTCCACTTTCACAGTTACTTTGAAAAAAAATATAGAGCCTCATATGAGAAAAGTTTTGCAAAATACTGGAACAAATCCTGGGTTTAGACCTGGGTTCATAACCCAGATATCACATTTACTAGGTGGGTGAATTTGGGCAAAGTCATTTTACTTCTCTAAGACCTTAATTTTCTGATCTGTAAAATGGGGATAATAATATTTTACCATGTACCTCATAGGATCATAGATTTATAGCTAGAAGGAGCCTTTAGA